CAAATAACTTCATTTCTGGACATTTATGGTTTGATTTCTTTGTATGTATGGATCACTTGGGTTGTTACCRACATCTGGTGAAAATTTCATGTCTTTAGCACCTCTAGTAATATATTTACTGAGAAAAATGGTGACGTGTTCAATACTTATTTTTACCCGCTGTACATACTGTTGCAACATTTTTAAATAAATAAAAATATCAAATAAGATTTTTTGTTTCCACTTGTATAAATTTTTAAACATGGAACTGGCAAAAAAAAAAATTTTTTGAAGTGTAAACTGTAACACATTTAGATTATCAATATCAGTATTCTTGTCAGTTCTGGGTATAAGGGCATTACAAGTACTTGTAAAAATGCTGGTATCAGTGCTGGTATCAGGACACCTTCCCCACATGTTCACTCTGGCAATGCACGACTTGAAGGATAAGACACTCCTACAACACGTCACATAGTGCTGCAGAAGTCTGTTAATCATCTGTGGTTTTTAAAGCAGGAGTGTTGAAACAGGAAAACATCTTAAACRTTGTATTTATTAACCAGGCAAAGCTCCAAACAGTACTCCTGAGAGAAACACCCTAGACCCGAGGCTTGAACGCAGGACCTTCTTGCTGTGAGGTAACAGTGCTGACCATTAAAGGGCCTGTGACATGCATTTCCATGTAATACAAAAAGTCAAAGAAAATATATTTATATTTAAGAAACTTGGCATAATACACATAATTTTACCCTTTGTGTCACATAATTGACATGTTTTCTTTTGAACTTGGCTCAGATGAACTGAAACAGGAAGTGACATCAAAGGGGAACTCTTTAAGAAGGGAACTCCCTGGTTTTTGTTTAATAAAACCATTTTATTTGAACTATATGACTCTTTCTCATCTCTCTATGATAGTGATTAAAATAATCTAAAGAAACATCAGATTCTTCTCCTCAGTCTGTGTTGTCGGCCTTTGTAGCAATGCTCTGTTTCCATGCAGACAGTCCCCTCTGACATCACTTCCTGTTGCTTCACAAGCAAATATCTCAACAACTGTTCATCTCAGCGGTACAAAATCTCTTTTGTAAATATTTTATCAATAATATATTTCAAAAAATGCATTCATRTTTTTTACAAAACTTTGATGTCACAGGCACTTTAAGGTGTTGCACTGCCAAAATATCAGCCATGAGGAACTGGGTTGGAAAACACAGTTTTTACTGGAAGMGTTGGGAGTACAGTAAAACGCTGTCACACATCAGAAGATTTTTACTAACCAGTATGAATAGAAATGGTTTCTGTTGGGATGTCGTAGCTGCARGACATGACTTCTGTGAGCTGTTTGAGTTACTGCGACGTGACTTTTTGCATAGATTTGTGTACATTTGTGCTTACATTTGCTTTAATGCTTTGAAAGCAGAGACCAGAACCAGACTCTGTTCCTGGTCTAAAGCTCAGGACGGGTGGGAGGAAAAAAACCACACCTGCAAAACAAACCTGCCGCTCACACACTGACAAAAGTCTAAAAAGGTTTTTGTGAAGCGTTATGAATGTAATATGATTTGCACTGAATGCTTTTATTTGTCAGAAAACAAAAGTGCRTTTCTTGGGTTTTTGTTTAAATTATTGCCGTATTGCTGTTAATTTGGGTCGAAAACCCCTTTTGTGTCATTTTGTGAAAGTCTGTGAGGCTAAAGYTTGAAACAAAACAGGAAATCTCATCTTTGTGCGTAAAGCTTCTAACAATCTGTCAGAAAGGAACTGAAAMTACTACTTCTGCAGCTGCAAGTCAGTTTGGAAACTGACCAAAAGAGGAAGTTTCTTCACTTTGTGAGAAAAGCAGATTTGTAGAAAGAAACTGAATATGTTGCAMTGAAACAAACATAGACTTATTGTTCAAACTAAATGAGTGAATTAAAAACAACACTAATGCATATAAAAAATAAGACACAACACATAAGACTCCCTCTTTCTCGCTCCCCACCCCCACTCACAGGAATGTGGTAGCGGTCCCTGATGCCGGACCGGAGTACGCAGGACACTATGCAGCAGAAGTCCAGAATCGGCATGAGACAGCACCAGCCGTAATCACCGGCCGTCTGACACTGCATGCAGGGGAAACACCAAAGAGCACAGCAGCCTGGTGGGCAGAGAAACATTTCAACTCAATATTACTTTAAAGACCCTTAAACATCACTGTTTTATATTGTAACTAGGGTTCTATAACAGGATGATACAACCCATAGGTCCTCTGATTCAATGGTAACTCTAAACTCTTGGTGTGAGATTTTTTTGTGTCGTAAGACCCGGCTACAGTTGGCCAAGCAGTCTCATTGTTATATAACTAACTAAATAATATTTAATAAAACCRATTTTATAAGGTCCTAAAAGTGTGCTGTGAGACCCGGCCTGAGTAGAACTCCAAGTCTCCTGTTATCAGAAATCAGGCTGGCAGTGAGCCACAACAAATCCAAGAGTGCAGGACACACTGGGTTTGAAGCCAGGCCAGGCAAAAAAGTACGCTGGAAGAAATGTAGAGAAAATAAGGATTTATTTTTCCAGTGAATACAGCAAAAGTGCTCCCTCTTCCCCCATCTGTTGCTGAGTCGTCTAAACGCTGCACAAGAAAGGAATCTACTCTAAAGTTTTATCTGCACAAAAACAACACACTGAGGCTGTTATTGCATTTCTTCCACAGATTATCTGCCACAGGAACACTGTTCGCCTCTTTTTGAGGTGACCAGAAGTTTATAGTAACTAAATACATTTATTTCATTACAGTACTTAAGTAGTTTTTTTGAGCATTTGTAATTTTACCAACTATTTTTTTTAATAACTAATTTCCTTTAGTTAAAGCTAAAAATGATACTTTCACTTCTTTACTTTAAAATGTAACACCTAGTTACTACAAAATTAAATATGTTGGAACTCATCATGAATGAAGATGTTTCTGCAGTGTTGAATTTACTCAACAAAGTCATGTCAACTGGCTCCACTAATCCCAGTCGAGTAAATTAAGCAAAGAATATACAGTAAGCATATTGTTTAATTTACTCAACCTGGCTTAATGGAACCAGTTTGGTTCAGTAAATTCAACATTCTTAGAGAGTGTGTAAAAGTACTTTTACTTT